CCGCCAGCTGCCCAAAGACGGGGGAGAGCACGACTCCCAAAGCAGTTTCTCAGGCGGCTTGTTTCGTGCTCAGAACAGCAAGTCTGCCCCGGGGCACAAAACAAGCCAAGCCCGGTGGGAAGTCTCATTTCTTAAAAAAAAAGGGATTTTAAAACAATGATTCAAGTTTGGTAACTCCTCTCACCCTCCTCCCCGGCTATATAAACGAGGCCGAAACTCACCCTCGTGCAGAAATCAGATTCAAAGTTCAGCCAATTTGTGTGGGCTACCGCCAGCCCCGTCCCCCTCGGGGGGGGTGACAAAGGCAATTCAACTCCCTTTGCAGAGCTGTCACCGCAGAGCCCTGGACCGGGGCTGAACCGGGCTCCCGAAGCCCAGGGTGAGCTCGGAGCAGGATCCCGGAGGAACAGCTCCAGGCGGGGGTTGGCCCAGGACGCGTCTGGTGACAGAAGTACCGGGTGCTGCTTGGCCTGAGAGGACTGGTGCGTAGACGAAGGAGCTGGCTTGACTCAAACGGGCTGGAGCAGTTTCTCAGCAGGCCGAAGGCAGCGAGTTGCTCTCCACCTTCAGTCCTTTGCTGGCCAGGAAGGCGTCCTGCTTGGGCTCGCGGCCCAGGAACTTCCTCAACATGTCGGAAGCATCCAGGGAACCGCCGGGATGCAGGATGCAATTCCTGTAATCCATGCCCACCTGCAAGGGGAGAAAGACGGGGGTACGCGTAGGACACCCGCCCTCCCACTGATGCCACCCCCCTGCCGTCTCCCACCACCTCTGGCAGGGGAGGCAGCCCCTGCCACACGCCGAGAGCCCGGCCGCAGAGGACGCCCTCCCTACCTTACAGTTCATGATCCCCTCCTGCTTGAAGCGTGTGTGGAACATATCCATGGAGTACACTTCGCTCCAGAGGTAGCCGTAGTACTGGGCATCGTAGCCTCCGGCCAAGTGGCCAAACGTAGCGGGCATGTTTGTACCTTTGCGGCAAAGGAAGGGAAGGGGCGTTAACGGGAAAGGCTGCTGGAACCGCTCACAGCACGGAAAAACCCCTCCGTGCTGGAAACGTGTCAGAGCAGGCACTGGGTCAGCTTGTTCACGATCCCAGGGGAAACAGGGAAGAACTTTCCAGTTATTTTTGTATGGTTTCAGCCCTGCTTTTCCTGAAGCCAACAGAAACTGTCCCCATTGAGCCAGCCCGAAGCCCCAGCCTTGAAAAGAACCTGCTGAGCCAAGCTTGCAGGCCAGGCCTAGAGAGACAGCAAGAGCGGGACCCCCAAGCCTCTGGGTACCTGGGGTGGCAGGGACGCCCAGCACCTCTTCACACAGCCGGGCAAACACCTCCACGGGGTCGGCCTTCGTCTGGGTGTGCAGCGCCTGGTCCACCTTGGCCAGGACGATCTGACGCAAGTTGAAGAGCCCTGTTCCCAGAAAGAGGAGGCAAACTGAGCTCCCACCTGCAGGCAGGAGCGTCTCCGAGGCCGGGTCGCTGCAGGGCAGGCCGGGGGGGGCTCCCATAGTTCTCCCCACACCCAGCTTCTGACCCGCTTCCCCAGACCAGCCCAGTTCAGCAGCGCCCACTCAGGCCTAAGCCGCGTCCCCCGCCTGCAGATAATCCCTGCCTCCCCCTGCACACCTTCTCACTGTGCAACCACCCAGCCTGCTGCACCTCCCGCCATGCCACCCTCGCTCTTCCCAGATTAAGAGCAGGCAGATGTGGTTCCTTCCCCCCAGTCCTCTCAGTCCCCACAGGGAGCAAGACAAAGCCTTTCCTCTAACCCAGCCAGGTCACTGAGGGTCCCCTTCCCCTCCCCACACACAGGGGACACCATGGCAAGGCTCTGCCCTCGCTGGGGACAGCACACAGCCCTCACTCCCCTTTTTGCTGGCTCCCACTTCCCTCCGCAGGGACCCACCCGTGTTTGCCTGCCGGGATTTAATGAGCTTCTCCAGCAGCTCATCAGGGATGGGGCTTCCAGTTTTGTAGTGCCTGGACATGCGCAGCAGCGGCTCCTTCTCCCACACCCAGTTCTCCAGCATCTGTGACGGTGCCTCGACAAAGTCCCGCTCCACGTGCGTCCCACTGAACATGGCAAACTCCGCCTGGGAGACACGGCAAGCTCAGAGCGGGGCGTCATTTAACCCCACAAGGGAGCACGACAGGGGAAAGGTAACAAACCAACCCTCTGCCAGCCCAGCCAGGCCTCACCTGAGAGCACAGCTGGTGCATGACATGCCCAAATTCGTGGAAGTAGGTCTCCACCTCATCGTGCTGCAGCAGGGAAGGCGCATCCGGCGTGGGCTTGGTGAAGTTGGCCACCATGGCAGCCACCGAGATCTGCCGGCTGGAGTCCGGCAAAAGGCAGCCCGGCTGCAGGCCGAAGCAGGCTGCGTGCCCGTACTTCCCTTCCCTAGGCCAGGAAGAGGAGACTGTTACACGGATCCTCCCCCACGGCCAGCCACGAGCCACCGCACAGGGCAGCGTGGTCCTGCTCAGAGCAGAAGCTCCTAGCGACGCTGCGATTCACACCAACCCCGTGCTCCTGGGACAGCCCTGCCCGATTACACGCTGCTCCCTCCGCACAGCCACGCGCCTGGGAGCGGGACGGCCCCTCCTCTTCCCCAGGCGCATGGCAGGCTCTGCTCCCCCCTGCCCTAGCCCTCTTCCCTCGCTTCGTCTTGCCCAAGGCCTCACCGCGGGTACAGGTCCAGGTAGAATTTGCCGATGGTCTCCCCGGAGGAGGTGTCCTTCACCGTGTAGAGCTGGACGTCCTCGTGCCAGACCTGAGCCTTCTCTTCCAGATGGAAGGTGAGCCCCAGCAGCTCCTGGTAAATGGCCAGCAGGCCCATGGTGACCACCTGCATGGGGAAGTACTCCTTCAGCAGATTCTGGTCCACGCTGTACTTGGTCTCCTCCACCTGGTTCATGTAATAGCGCATGTCCCAGGCATTGATGCGGTTGTCAAACTCCAGGCCGCGCTTCTCGCATTCTTTCTTTTTCAGGTCCAGGATCACAGCCCGTTCCTTCTCCCCAAGGGCTTTCAGCTTCTGGGCCAGCTCATCTAGGAAAACCAAGGCAGGCAGGGTTAGTGCCCGGGGCCGAGAGCAGCACACCCGGCCCAGCGCACGCCCCTGCTCTTCCCCTCCACAGCCCAGTGCCGTACCCAGGAACGTAGCCACGGTCTTGCTGCTTTTAGCCATGTTCATCTCCAGCACAAAGTCCGCGTGCGTGTTGAAGCCCAGGAGACTGGCTTTCTGAGCACGCAAGTCCACCAGCTCCTTGAGGATCAGGCAATTTTCCTGCAAGGTAGAGTCAGACAAAGAGTGAAGTGGGGTACGCAGGCGAGAAAGGAAGCACGAGCCCCAGCGTGGAAAGAAGCACCAATCTCAGACGAGACCCCTCCAGTGCCTGGACCTGACCCGGCCTCCCGTCTGGCCCTGCTGGCAAGCAGCAAGGCTTTGATTTTCTTTAAAATATAGATGAACAGAGAAAAGTCAGTCCAAAGGGGGAAGTCAAACAGCACCGTTCACCGTCTCCAGCCAGCAGCCCGCCTGCTGAGTTGCCCAGTGGTCTGCACTTGGCTTTTATTCAAACGCAACGCTGCAGAATTAACTGCCTGCAGGCGCTGAGCTCTCAGCCTAGAACAGGCTCCCTTTGATCGCACCTGGTAGGAAAGCAGCCACCTCAGCAAGGTCCCAGCTGCCTCCTGCCAGCTCAGGAGCTGCAGGTGTTTAAGCAACAACCTCCCCTCCCCTTATTTCATTTCACCTTCTCTTTTATTTTTAACCCAGCTTCGAGCTCCGTGCACTGGCACAAGACAAGAGAGGGAGACCCTGAGCAGCTCAGCGGCCCCCAGCCCGCTCACCTCGACCCCAGCCCCAGTGGGGCACCCTCCCTGACTGCCCCTTTGCTTCTGGGGGCCGGGTCCCGCTTCCACTCCTGACCTGCACGGCACCATCTGCAATCTCAGCTTCTTGGGAGCCCCCTGACCCCCTGCCATCAACCGCACTTTGTAAACGTCATCCCCATCCAATGGAAAGGAAAAAGAGGGGCACAGAGACATCACCCAACGCGCCCAAGGTCACATGAATCAGGGGCAAAATTCAGGAGTCTGAGCTTCAGTCCTCTGCTCTAATGCTACACTGTCCCGTTAGCCCTGCAAGGCCTCCTCGACCTGTGCTTACTTAAGCTCTGTGATCTCACCTCCTGCGTTTCCTCAGGGAGATGGAGACCGTTTCTTTTACCCAATTTGATCAGCCTCTCTAGATACCTCTTTGCTTCAGGCTTCAGTGAAGCGCTCTCTGCCTTCTCCTGTAAAACAAAAGCCATGAGCACAGGGAACCGCAGGATCAGGTGTTGCGGAAAGTTGGTTCCCGGTGGGAGCTGTGGGTTGTTGTAACACCCGTGACCCAGAAGCAGATGGAAACACCCCACAAGAAGGCTTTGGTTTGGTGCATTAGATCCTATCGGATTGCTTTAAACATCTCGCCTTCATGCCGCGTTACAGCGCTTTTCAGGGCATTACCCAGTCCCTTCCCCGCGTGAGGCAGGCTGGGTTTACTAAAGCCATTTTACCAAAGGGCCGATCGAGGCCCTGAGGGGGGGGGCAGAGCCCTCAAACCCCAACTCCTCAGTTCTCACTGACAGCTGGACCATTCTGCCACGACCACACAGCGGTTCAGTTCCAGCCCTGACTCGGTATCGTTCACTTCTAAGTTCTGGGACAAGGGAAAAGGGTTTGTTGTAATTCCAGGAGGTTTCAGTGCCCTGCTCAGGTCATCGCTGACAGAGCATCCTCCCAAGCACACACCTGGAGCCAGACAATCCTCTGGTACACGTCCTGCCTCATGCTCATCTCCACGTCGAACTCCGAGAGCTTCTTGTCAGCCTCGGTGCTCGCCGCACGGATGTCTTTGCAAGGAGAGACGTGCTGGGGGAAGTCCAGCATGTTCCGACGGACTGGAAAGACAGAAGAGGGATTACGGCGAAGGCAACGGCTTCATGTCCCAGAACTGCTCGTGAGTGGGAGCGTACACAGAGAGCCTGTGTTAATTGGGAGCCAGTTTGACGGCCCTGGAGCCTGACCTGCCCGCCCACGCAAAGGAAGAGCAAGGCAAGCTGCTGCCGTCAGACAAACCCAGAGCTGTCCTCTCTGAGCAGTGCTCAGTCACCCGCAGCACCCGTTCACCCCTGCCTCGCTGCCGAGCACATCTGTCCACTGATTTCCCACTGCGATCCATCTTCCTCACAAAACTCACATGAATTTCACGCCTGTGAGACCCCAACGCCTTTGCCCCAGCCATAGCTGGTACCAACAGTTTCAAGAATCACAGGACTTCTATGCTGGCAGACACACGGGCAGCATCGTTGCGTGACTCCTCTCCTTAGAGGACCAGGCTAAAAGTGACACACCTTTACTGCAGGCGCTCCTCAAAAGCCACCGTGTCCCAGGTGAGCTCCGTCCTGACGTATTTCCACTTTAGAAGTGAAAACAGGGAGAACATTCCCTCTGCAAAACCTCAAATAATACAACTCCGGCGGGAAGGCGCTGCCCTCCAGGCGCGAGAACTCTCCAGCCAGCAGAAGGTGAGCAGGCAGCTACTCTCTGTTTCCCAGGGAAAGTGCTGACAGTTCTGCTGAAGTTAACATCCCCCCTGCTTAGCAAGGGCTTTTCCTCTTAATTTAGGAAAAAGAAATCAGAGAGAAGAAAGAAGAGGCTTGCAGGCTGGCTTCTGCTTCGTACAGACGCGACACCTCGCAACACGGGCGGTCAGGACAGCTAACAGATGCCGGGAGGCAGGAGGGGGGCTGCGTGACATTGGCGCTCTACTGCTGTAAATAATTAGCCAGAGACATATCGAAGCCCGCATCGTTTGCCAGGACGATGCCATCACGTCATGTTACTTTACACATAATCCCTAAAACGACAGCAGTGTTTAAACAAGCCACACAGAGAGACATTTATCCGCTGCCTTAGGGAAGAAGTTAGAAACGAGCTGAAGATTTCTTAGATCATCCGAACCGTTCCTGCCAACGCGCAGTTTGTTCCCGCTAATGCACCTTGACCCATAAAAGCAGGAGACAACCTCGAAAGCCTGGCCACTCCTCCCGCAGACCACCCTGCTGCCAAAGCGCCATCCTTGTTCGAGACTCGCTCTTCCGTTCCAAATCTACTCTATTCTTTGCACTTCTATCTAGCTGTATAAACATTAACTGGGGAAAAAAAAAACAAACCATACTGCTGAGGGAGCCAAGGGAAGCAAAAAAGGAGATGACGGTACAGAGCAAGAAAACACCACCAGAAAAATCTTAGTAACACGTTGATTTCCAGAAAGCCAGTACTCCCTGTCAGTGTACGCACCCGTATATTCCACTTCCACATCAGCCAGTGCCTTCAGAGTGTTTTCGTAGGACACCTCGCCCTGCTCCTGGGAGCCCACCCGGTCGTACACAAGCTTGGTTCTCTCCGTGAGCTCTGCAGCCATGTTTTCTATCTGTTCCGCAGTCAGGTCCCATCTTAGCTGGTTTGCCAATAGCCTGGGGGCCTGGCTATCCCCAACGTCAACTGGGGGGGGGTGGGGGGGCGGGGGGGGGGAACCGTCTGTGAGATAGAGTCTTACGCGGGCTGGAAAGAAAATTCAGCTGCATAGTTAAAGCTCGATAAAAGCACGTAACGGAGAGGCCCGGCAAACAAACCACGCTGGTGGGCAAGCGGGCTCCGAAGGAAGCAGGGTGCTGGCGGCAATCAGCAGCCGGGTTCTTTTCCGGGCGCTGTTTACCCTCTCGGCCATGACAAGCCCTTCACAGAAACCTGACTCCCTCCCCGCCGTGCCCCCGGCAGGTGCCCCTGCCCACGGGACGCGGCGGG